CACTTTATTGATGCACATATTCTCAATGCCAGATACACCTTTTGTATCAGTTGGCAACTTCTTAAATTAAATCTTGGATGTATAACAAAATTAAGCATAAAATGTTGCATTTTCTATGGATCCTTAAATCTTATTGACATAACCTTAGCAAATGTTTTTATTTATATGATTGCTACATTTTAAAAAAAGTTCTTTCTGACTATTACTTTTTTTCATAACCTTTCTTTTCCCTTTTTTCTGATTTTATGGCTTTTTAAGATAAGCACTAGACAGACAGCCACATCAGCCTATTCAGTCTAAATTAAATAGCATATGTCTACCCATTGTTTTGCACCTTTGTCTAAATGTAAATAGACCTTTATGGAAGATACCATGCATATATCACCTATTTGATGTTCTGAATGACTTATGACCATACTTGCTTAAATTAACACATTTGAACTGGTTCATTGGAAATATGAAATGTAAGAAATAATTAGTATTTTGAATACTTTAAAAGAAAAATAAGAAAAGACCCTACCATGATAGATTTAACATGAAAGAAAATTAGAGTTTTTCTCTTTTTAATTGATAATATTCAGAGAAGCAAGATATTTATGTACATGCTCTAAAATTACCACCTGAAGCAGTAAATACTAAGTTGTCATTGTTAAATGTAAGTTGGCTTGCATTTTTAATAATACATAAACAACAACAACATGGTACATTTGACTTTTTCTACAGACTACATGCTCTTGAGCTTATGATCTTGGAAATTATGCTATTCCAAATCCTTTAGCTTGTTTAAAATTTTTTACCTAGAATATATTATGTAGAAGTTGTTGTTGTTAGGTGCCATCGAGTTGGTACTGACTCATAGTGACCTTATGCACAGCAGAATGAAACACTGCCCAATCCTGGGCCAACCTCACTACTGTTGCCATGCTTGAGTCCATCGATGCTGCCACTTGGACAATCAATCTCATTGGGAGTCTTCCTCTTTTTCTCTGATCCTCCACCTTACCAAACATGATATCCTTCTCCAGTGACTGGTCCCTCCTGACAATATGTCCAAAGTATGAGAGACGAAGTTTGGCCATCTTGGCCTCAAAGGAGCAATCTGGCTCTACTTCTTCCAAAATGGATCTTTTGGTTCTTTTGGCAGCCCATGGCACTTCCTGCTTGGCTTTCACATGCATATGAAGTTATTGAAAATACCATGGCTTGCATCAGGTGCACCTTAGTCCTCAAGCTGACATATTGGCTCTTCAACAATTTAAAAAGGTCTTGTACAAAATATTTACCTAATGCAATACATTGTTTGATTTCTTGATTGCTATTTCCATGAGTGCTGATAGTTGATCCAATTATGTAGAGGTAATATTTCTAAAATCATTTAAGACCAAGGACTTGGTCTTAATAAAATACATGAACAAAATACATTCATGTTTTATTTTGGAAAACTATAGAAAATAATTTTTTACAAACATAATGTATTTATATTTATTTTATTTCATTTTAAAGAGTATTTTGATGCTATTTAAAGAAAAATTCATGTCAAAGTTCATTTATTTACTTACTACTCTTATGACTAGCAAAGAAACATTGTCAAATATAGTGTCGGAAAATGAGACCCTCAGGTTGGAAGACACGCAAAATGCGACTGGGGAAGAGCTGCCTCCTCAAAGTAGAGTTGACCGTGATTACGCGAATGGAGTAAAGCCCGTGGGAGAAAAACCCGCGGGACATTCATTTGCTGATGTGGCACAACTCAAAATGAAGAGAAACAGCTGTAAACATCCATTGAAAATTGGAACATGGATTGTAAAAAGTATGAATCTGGGAAAATTGGAAGTTATCAAAAATGAAATGGAATGCATAAACATTGATATCTTAGGCATTAGTGAGCTGAAATGGACTGGTATGGGCCATTTTGAAGCTGATGACCACATGGTTTACTATGCTGGGAATGACAAATTTAAGAGGAATGGTGGTGCGTTCATTGTCAAAAAGAACTTATCCAGATCAGTCATGAGGTACAACACTATCTGTGATAGGATAATATGCATGCACCTACAGGGAAGCCCAGTTAATACCACTATTTTTCAAATTTATGTACCAACCACTGAAGCTCTGGTAGCGTAGTGGTTACAAATCGAGCTGTGAACCTTAAGGTCAGCGGTTCGAAACTACCAGCCGCTCCGCGGAAGAAAGATGAGGCTTTCTACTCCCGTAAAGATTTACACCCTCGGAAACCCTGTACAGGGTCGCTATGGGTCGGAACCGACTCGATGGCACTTAACAACAACAACAACAACAACAACCACTGAAGCTAGTGAGGATGAAATAGAATTCTACCAACTTTTTCAGTATGATATTGATCAAACATGCAATCAAGATTTACTCTTCATTACTGGTGATTGGAATGCAAAGGTTGGGAGAAAAGAGGAAGAAGGATCAGTAGTTGGAAAATATGGTACATGATAGAATTCTTCAAAATCAATGATTTGCTCATTTCAAATACCTTCTTTAGAAAACATAATAGACGACTATACACCTGGACCTCACCATATGGAATACATAGAAATCAAATTGACAACATCTGTGGAAAGAGACGATGGAAACGCTCCATATCATCAGTGAAAACAAGTTCAGGAACAGACTGTGGAACAGACCATCGATTACTCATATGCAAATAAAAACTGAAGCTGAAGAAAATGAAAACTAGTCCATGAGAGCCAAATATGACCTTGAATATCTTGTTGCTGTTAGATGCCATGATATTTTCAATAACCTCATATGCATGTGAAAGCTGGACAGTGAATAAGGAAGACCATAGAAGAATTGATGCTTTTGAGTTATGGTGTTGGAGGAGAATACTGAAAGTGCCATGGGCTGCCAACAGAACAAACAGATCTGTATTGGAAGAAGTGTAGCCAGAGTGCTCCTTGGAGGCCAAGATGACCAAACTTTGTCTCTCATATTTTGGACATACGTCAGAAGGGACCAGTCGCTGGAGAAGGATACCAAGTTTGGTAAGGTGGAGGGTCAGAGAAAAAGAAGACCCCTATGTGATGGATTGGCTAAGTGGCAGCATCAATGGACTTAAGTGTGACAACAGTAGTGAGGTTGGCCCAAGATCCGGCAGTTTTTCATTCTGCTATGCAAAAGGTTGCTATGGGTTGGTAGCAACTTGATGGCACCTAACAATAGCAACTCCTACAAGAAATTAATTATTTGTACAGTTTTCATCTGGTTAGCTGATTTGCTCTTTGACATTATGCATTAATCATGACTTTCAGAAGTAGTTTGTATTAACACATAATCATTCAGGAAGAAAAGATATACAGTTTAATCAGAGAATGCTAAAATAAGAAGCTGATTTAGAAAATCAGACTGTAAGTATGGTGTATGAGTATACGTTTTAAGAGATGACACAAATTAAGTTGAATGGAGAACTTAGACTTTCCACACCACCATAATGTGAAAGTTATTTGGAAAGGTAAAATTGATGTTTTGTTCTTGTAAATTGAAAGGAATCAGCAGTTTAACCTTATTAATACTTGCTATTTTTGTTTGACTGGTGGCAGCTAAAATTTTGATAGGGCCATATGAGTTGATGATTTATGTGCATCCCTTCTGCTTTCACATTTTTTTCACAACTACTTGAGTTGAATATAAACAATAAATATTGCTCTATTTAATTTGATCTCTAAATACATGCATTCCTATGAAGTTTTTTATTATGTATATTAATGTTGGAAAACATAAATTCTTGAATTTTTGAATATCAATATGCGTTTATTGTTGGTTGTATTAGGGACATATTGTTGTTGTTGTTAAGTGCTGTCCAGTTGATTTTGACCCATAGAGACCCTGCATAGGGTTTCTGGGGCTGTAAATCTTTACGGGAGCAGAAATCCTAATCTTTCTCCCACTGAACTGCTGGTAGTTTCGAACTGCTGACGTTGAGGCACTCAGCACAATTCGTAACCACTATGCTACCAGAGCTCCTTTAGGGAGGTAGTAAGATAATAAAATTAAATTGTATATTGCTTTTTTACACACAGATTCCAAATTCAAATTTTTGAAGCTAAATTTGCACTAATATGAATAATAGAAATTTGGTTTTATATTTTTTGGGAAGTGGTTGTAGTACATTCATATTTTTGGAATTGGAATATTTTACTAAGAAAGAGACAGTTTTATATTTTCATTCATAGTCCAAATAACATTTTATAAAATATAAACTATACTTGACTTTTCTACATCTGATATCGCTCAAAAATTTTTAAAATCATTAGTCATGAAAGACTGTATTGGTAAGAAAGAATGTGGTCCTTGAGTATAACAGTAAGTCACTTAGTATGTATATGAAATTACAAGCTTGCCCTGTAACCTGCAATTTTTATCTTTACATCTTTCTATGTGCTTTTTTTGTAAATGAATCTTATAATCAACATTTACTTATCCAATTTGTGACAGATGAACAGATGGCTGAAATAGAATAGTTTTTAATTTTACACTAATAATTTCAGTTCAAACTTTATTTCACTATAATGCTCTTTGTAATGATAGAATTAATAAATTGCTGTGGATTTGCATGTAATATTTTTCTACCTTCTATACTAAATTTTTTTTAATATTTTATGTTTTGAAATAAAATCCTTCCTTGGCATTTGAATGTACATTATTTTCTTCCTCTGCACCTTATTATCCTCACCCACATTAAAATATCTTATACTTTTGCTGTGAAATACTTTAATATTTTTCCTTGGATATATCACTTATATGCATTTGCTTAGAATCAACTTGTAAACAATAACATGTGAGTATTATCTTAATTTATAAGAGGATATAAAAATGTATATTTGTGTGATTTTACATAGCTCTTTGTTCTATTAATATACATGATGAGTATATCAATTTGTTTATTTAAATTTCATTTCTTAGATTATTTCTATTTTTCCCTGATCATTTTCTATATTTTAATTTAAATTTTTTTGTTTTATATTGTGCAGTGGGAAGAGATTGGTGAAGTTGATGAAAATTATGCCCCCATTCATACATACCAAGTATGCAAAGTTATGGAGCAGAATCAGAATAACTGGCTTTTGACCAGTTGGATAACCAATGAAGGTGCTTCCAGAATCTTCATAGAACTCAAGTTTACCCTACGGGACTGCAACAGCCTTCCAGGAGGACTGGGAACTTGTAAGGAAACTTTTAACATGTATTATTTTGAATCAGATGATGAAAATGGGAGAAACATCAAGGAAAACCAATACATTAAAATTGATACCATTGCTGCCGATGAGAGCTTTACAGAACTTGATCTTGGTGATCGTGTCATGAAACTGAATACAGAGGTCAGAGATGTAGGACCTTTAAGCAAGAAGGGATTTTATCTTGCCTTTCAAGATGTCGGTGCTTGTATTGCTCTTGTTTCTGTTCGTGTGTACTATAAAAAATGTCCTTCTGTGGTACGGCACCTGGCTATTTTCCCCGACACAATCACTGGTGCAGATTCTTCACAGTTGCTTGAAGTATCAGGCTCCTGTGTCAACCATTCTGTGACTGATGAACCACCCAGAATGCACTGCAGTGCTGAAGGGGAGTGGTTGGTGCCCATTGGGAAATGCATGTGCAAGGCTGGATATGAAGAAAAGAATGGCACCTGTCAAGGTAAGTTGGCCTGTAGGCTGTCTGCTTCAATTGGATCATGTATATGTATTTCTCTCAGTGATTATGAGCAAATGAACTTTTACTTTGCTAATTTATGGAGATTCTTTCTCCTTAAGTTTGATTTTTCTCTCTTCAGAATGTAAATTTTTCTGGCAATGATGAAATATTTAATATAATATTTTATTGCATATACATAATTTATACTCAGGGAGCAGCTTATCTTCCATGTAATATTTTATAATCATTTTGCTCTCAAAATTTATAATTTTGAGCAACCTTAATCAAACCTGTCTTTGTGTAACTACTTTCTTTGTATGACTGCTGAGTTTTTCTCTCCATGAAGTTGTTTTCTGCTATTTTCTTGCTATATAAAATTCCAATGCAGCTATTAGATAAGATTTGATTTTGCATATTATTGCCTGTCTTTTAACAATTCTTCAGAAATAAATTCAGCCATATAACATCACAGCAAAACATATGTAAGCAGACAAGACATAGTGTACTATGTTGTCTACACACAGATGTTATTATATTCTTAATTTAAAAAAAATTCAGGTCAACTTTAAATCCATTGTGAGTAGTGTCTTAGAAAAATAACATTGGAGATAGAGGCAAGACAAAAAGGTCATTTCAAAGCAATATGCACTTAGAGATTTTTTTTTTTTCCTGCTTTAATTTTTCTTTTAAATTGAAACTTGATCATGCATGCTTCCCTCTTCATTTGAAAATGCACTAAGTTTGCCCACAGTTTAGTGAATTGCCCTTCTGAACTTTCATATTTATCAGTGGCTTTCTGGAACAGAAGAGCACTTTATGCGAAAGTTAAGAAAAACTTATGGGGAAGAAAACAAATCATTCTTAAATTAAAAAATAATATTCATCATTATGGACTTAAAGTTCTTTTGACATTTGTGCTAAATGGTAATAGAAGTTAATGTGAACTTATACCAACGGCTGAAAATTCGCTCAGTCACACTTTTTTGTTTTTTCCTAACCACTTTATTCTCTGAATCAAACTAGCTCAAATTTGTTGTGTCTTGGATACAAGCTGTAAACCACAGTGTTGTTAAGTGCTGTTGCAGTAGCTTTGCTTAATTATTTCTCTTCTGAAACACATTGTATGGTGTTTAATTTTCTTTTTTCAGCATCAGCCCATACTTCTTATCTTCATAATACCACCTACAATTAATTGTATGGTTATTATTCATGTAATATATAGCCATATATACTAGAGAGTATTATTAATTTGATATAATGTTTTTGAAATGCTTTTCAGTTTGTCAGTTATAGAAATAATATTCTACATCAAAGTGCACTTATAAAAGGAAAATTCTAACATCTTAACTTTTCTTTTTGAGTCATCTTCTTGTCTTAAGATGAGCATATATATGTATTTATAGGATAGGAAGCAGGAGTCTAATATAATATGTTGAATAGTTTTCAAAGTCTTTTCCTAAAATATTTTAAATAAGTTTTATTTATTATCTCTAATGTTGTATTACTAATATTATAAATCAACTTTCTCAAGTTGCTTGTGTGTTTACATTGCCGGAAGATAAATTTTGATTGTGTCTGGACCTGAAACATTCTGCTAGAGTTCATAAAGAAAATATCTTGGAGAAATAGCATTCTGAGATAATGTTTTTAGTGCAAGCATGTAAGACAAATTTTCTCTGTCTCTCTTTACACTCTTAATTAAGTGGTGAAGACCCACTTAAATGACAGTGGATGCCATGAAGAAGCTGATTGTAGAAATCATTATCAAACTGGATTCAGTCTTAATCCACCCATTCTATTCCTGTGGTATGAAAAGTAACTGCAGAGTCTTTCAGCTGTGGACTATACAGCCAAAAAGGATGCCTTTCACAATACAATTTATGTGGGCAGTTGCCTCTTCAGGAGGGATTTTTAATATTTCTTTCTTCAATAACTTGAGAGATTGCATAGGTTGAATATATAAATAGTTAATGTATGCTTTGAAGACTTATACCATTGCAGAAATTCCTGAGGCATTTATAATTTCAACTTTGTTATTAATTGCTGTGAAACCTGCTGTGACTCTTGGAGATCTTATCTATAACAGAATAGAATGCTGCCCAGTTCTATGCCATCTTCATAAAACTTGTGATGTTTGAGGCTATTGTGTTAATTCATCTCAATGAAGGTTTCTATGCTTTTCATTGACACCTATTTTTCATTATTGATGTTGTTCTTTGAGTCAGTTCCAAGTCATAGCAACCCTGTATAAGGTTTCCAAGGAGTGTCTGGTGGGTTTGAACTACTTATCTTTGAACTGTATGGATCTCGACAAGCTATGGAGAACATTTCAAAGAACTGGTATTCCAGAACACTTAAATTATGCTCATGAGGAACCTGTACATGGACCAAGAGACTATTGTTCAAACAGAACAAGGGGACATAGAAAGGTTTAAAATCTGTAAAGGTATGTGCCAGGGTTGTCTTCTTTCAGTATACAAATTCAACCTGTAAATTGAGCAGATAATCTGAGAAGCTGAATTATATGAAAATGAATGTGGAATTATGATTGAAGGAAGACTCATGAACAATCTGTGATAATCAGATGATGCAACCTTGCTTGCGGAAAGTGAAGAGGACTTAAAATACTGATGAAGAGCATACACCACAGCCTTTAGTTTGGCATGCACATCAGTGTAATTAAAACAAAAATCCATACCACTGGAACAATAAATAACATCATGATAAATGGAGACAAGACTTAATTTTGCTTGAATTCATCATCAGCACTCATGGAAGCAACAGTTCAGAAATAGAATGTATTATATTAGGCAAATCTGCTGCACGAGACCTTTGTAAAGTTTTATGGTGTTTTTTATTTTTATTTTTATTTTTTTATTGTGAATTATGTGGGTTTATATGGGAGAACATCAGTTTTACATTCATCCTATTGTATTTCATTTCATTGCAATGATTACAATCCCCTCCATGCATTATCAAATAACCAAAGGATACACCCCACAGGCCCGACCACCAGCTGTCAGCAGTGTCCCCAGCCACTCCATCTGTACATGTCATCCTCTCTGTCTCCATCTCTGGTGTCACTGCCTCTCTGGGTATGGTCCTGCTCTCTACTCTTCTCACTTGGTGGTCCCAGGGACCTCAGCTCCTGGACTGCAAAATTAATCACTCCCCTCCTTTTGTCAAAAAACATCCACCTCTACATTTCTGACCTTCACATTCAGTCCTGATGGCAATTGTTCACTATTGTACCACAAGAGTCTTATCCCCCATTTTCTTTCGCCAGACCTGTCCCAACAGATTGGAAATCATTCAGTGGAGATTCTACCTACCCCTACCCCATCTGGAACTAAGCTTCCTCTTGAAAGCTTGTAATCCAGTCATTTCTTGCTTTTATAGCATCCCCCACCCCCCACCCCCATTTGGGGTAGGCAATGTCTAGGTTGTCCATCTCTGTCAATCATGTGTACCAAGGGGGTGGGAGTGATCCTTGCTGTAAAGATTTGTTCCCTTTTTTGAGCTACTACATCCATAAGCATAGGCACAGTTCATCAAATTATAGCTGGTTATTGTGTTTTTTTTTTTTCCTTTTCTTTCTTCTTCTAGTCGAGTTCTGATCATTAAGCCATTGAAGCCAGGTCAAGTGGGTACTATCTGCAAGTATGGGTGTTCTTGTGCATCTCCCCTCACTTCATATCAGCTGGATGCTTCACTCTCTGCTCTAGTCCTCTGTGGCCATGTCACTGCCTCTGGACCCAGTAGTCCTTGGGTCTTGCTGTACTGCTGACCATCCAGGTCTCCATCCAGGTTCATAGGAGTCTATTGAATGTGGTCAGACTTAACTACCAACTTCACTTATGTTTTCCCCCCCTCTTCTCCTTATAGGTGATCAACATGGTCACCAGCCAGACCACATGCCTGCTCGTGTATTCCCCTTAAATCTTAGTCTTGGAAGGAAGTTTGCTTTGAGGGGACCCAACCACTTGCCTTGATGGCTCCCAGGTGAACAGCTTACTTGTTCTTGTAGTAATCAATCAGTCTGTCATTATTGTTCCTGATTTTTCCTTCTGGTCTTTCTTTTATGAAGTATATTCTGTTCTTATAGCCACTCCAGGCTGGCCTACTCGTCCTTTCCAGTGGAAATTTCCCACCTAAGATGATTCTGGATGGGTTCTGGATTCCATCTATGGTCTTCTTGTTGTTGTTGTTGTTAGGTGCCATCGAGTCAGAACTGACCAATAGCGACCTTATGCACAACAGAACAAAACACTGCCCGATCCTGGGCCAACCTCATTACTGCTACCATACTTGAGTCCATCGCTGCTGCCACTTGGCCAATCCATCTCATTGGGGGTCTTACTCTTTTTCTCTGACCCTTCACATTACCAAACATAATATCCTTCTTCAGTGACTGGTCCTTCCTGACATCTGTCCAAAGTATACAAGACAAAGTTTGGCCATCCTAGCCGCCAGGGAACACTTTAGCTGCACTTCTTCTTAAATGGATCTATTGGTTATTTTGGAAGCCCATGACACTTTCAATATTCTCCTCCAACACCATAACTCAAAAGCATCAATTCTTCTACGGTCTTCCTTATTCACTGTCCAGCTTTCTCATGCATATGAGATTATTGAAAATACCATGGCTTGGGTCAGGTGCACCTTAGTCCTTAAGCTGACATCTTTGCTGGTTTTATGCAATGTGAAAGCTCCACAGGAAGCCTCTGTCACGGGATAACTTCTATCCCCCTTTAAGTTATTCCAATCAGTTATAGGCTGAAGACAGACTTACAATCCTTCTATTGTGATGATCCTGGCTATTCCTTTCTCCCTCTCTCTAGTGACTATTTTACAATGGTAGGCAAGGGAAACCAAGATTCAAAAGACAGCCAAGCATCTTAACACTATTCCCCTCTTTTACCCATTCCTACCATGCCTCAATCCCTATATCCCAGAGCCCTGTTGTTCCAAGGTTGTGCATATCTCATAATTTACCTGTGTCC